TATTTCAAAAATGCAATCTCATAACTAGAAAGGGAAATGCAGTAAAACTGTTCTCCATATTTGAGGCCAAATTGCAAAAGCAATTATTAGCTTTCAATAAATCAATATCATGAAACCAATATAATTGAAATCTCACAACTTTTGTAGTCTGAAAAGTTTTTCTTCTACTAATTATTTATTCTTCAAAAAGAAAAATGAATAATGCCTCCATAAATTAAACAATTCATTCATACATGTTTTTGCTATTAATATATACATTTTTCAACATTTGGACATTATCTCATTGGAATCCTAATTGAAAGACTTTCTATTAACATTTATTTAATCACAAACTTCAATCATTCTTGAAATGTCTGTTACCATTTCTTACTGGAAGGATATAATATAAAAGAATGTAAATTCAGAGAGTACTACTTCATCTGAATTTTAAAATTTTTATTTGAGAGCTATTGAAGTTATGAACATGCTTTCTCATAGAATTAGGTATTACAAACATTTTTTAAAAATTCATTTGATATGCTCTTTGTGCTTCCAAAACCTGGGTATGATTTGTAGCACCATTACTCATGAACCGTATAATTTTTTTTTTATTATTAATTTTTAAGATTGTTATTTGGATACTTTAGTGGATACTTAGTTATTTGGATACTTTAGTGCCTGAACCTGAATTTGAAGATTGATAAGAGGCTTGAAACTTCACAAGAATTTGAATTAGAACTTTTAAAAAAAACCACAGGTAACAATATCAATTAACAGAGCAATTTATTATTGCTAATATGAATTTTCTACAACAATTTCAGGTTTAGGCACAAGAATTGACTTTCTGATATTAAATAAAAAAATTAATTGGAAATATATCTTCAAAATTGGATGAGTTATGATGTTTCAAGTTGGATCAAACAAGAGAAAAAGTATTTTTAATAAGTTAGTTGATAAGAAAAAGTAACTTATGAGAAAAGCCTGATTAACATTTATTTTACTAAAATGCCCCAGGACGATACGTTATACCTTCTACTTTGATTTCCTGGTCTTTGTTTACCTTTATTCAACCTTTCAAATATCTTCTCCTACTTCTACTTTCAGGCGTGGTCTGCTTTTTAGCTAATTGAGGCTTCCATGTCTCTCACAATCAATCCTCACGTTTGTACCAGCTTTGATGCACATTCTTTCATATATTTGGGATGTGACATGTACACGCATTTGGAAAAGTACAAATAAATCAAAAACTAACATACTTGGAAACAAATGATTTTAAGCATCAAAAAATACACATCTCAATGCCCAAGAAACAATGAAAAACAAAAATTTCACTTGTTCACGAAAAACTTGTTCACTTTTTTTTTTTTGCTTGTTTCAAATGAAAATTGGTACTTTCATGACAGTCTTATATATTCAGTCTCAACATAACATACACTTCATTTTTACCTAAACTGACTGAATTAAACATGAACAAGTCCCATGAAACCCATACAAGTAGAGCTTTAGTATTCTTGTATGAATTCTTGTAGCTTCTCCCCTACATGTCACATACAGTTTATATTGTTCTTTGATGAAAAAAAAATTGAGCATCCTGACAATATGACTAACGACTTTCAATTAGTTTGTTCTATTATTTACACATCAATAATTTTCATTACTTCCAATTTGTATATTTGCTGTTTTCGTTTCAAACATGAAAAGGCAAAGAAATTCCAGAAGTAAACTTGGCTTTAGGAATGATCACAGGGAAATCAGAATTACAAAAAAGAGCAACATAAAAGCAGAATTAGGATGATAGAGAGATCAGTGTGTGCCAGAGAAAATGAAAAAGAGCTTTAGACAATATGATATTGCTCTCTTACCCACACTTTCTAATCCATTCATCCAAAGGTGTTAGATAAAATAACTGTCTTAAAGACACACACCAAAAGGATTACCATGTTGCAATTTTCTATTGATGCAACAATATGCTACTTCATCATATTACAACAGGGCGAGGGAGGGGGAGGGCAATTGCTCTTGCAAGTTTGTACGGAAAGTCAGCGCCATGTGCACACCTGGGCAAACTGCACATTAGGGCTATACAACAATGGTGATTGGGAAAAGATATAGGAGCCGAATTGTAAAGGCACTGTGTTCAACTAAATCCACAATCAATAAGTAAAATAAACTTTAAAAAAAATTTACTACAAAGAGAAAGTCATTGCACAAAATTATCTTGTAAGAACAAGTAAATGGCAACAGGATGTAATAAAAATTTGACTCTGCATGAAGCAAGTGCCCATATGAGCAGTGATTTGTCAATCCTTTACAACACTTTAAATGGAATACAACTAAAGAATGTATGTACTTTGAATGAAAGATCAAAAACATGTGGAAGAAACAAAAAGTTCAAAAGAATTAATTCTTGGAGAACTACAGGACTATCTGAAAGACAGAAAAAAAATGAAAGAATAGACATTACAGATCAATAAAGCAATAAGACTATAAGAACTAACAGTTTTAGAGAGTTGTAAGTATAGGTACAGTAACTAGCAGAACCTCATTAAGTGCAAAAGGTCGGCCCCTAACATCTTATTTAATAAAATTTGATTTTCCTGTTTATTTGGTATACATGTTACACTTACAAGTATGTTATAATCATAATTTTGCTCCTAATAATTACCACCTTCTAGCTAGTTATAGCCTAAACAAAGGCAATGTTACAAAACTTTTTGACTTAGACATGCAAGCATCCCACATTAGCTTGTAAATATGTTCTATTGGATCGAAAGCATTATTATGAAGTGAATGCTGATGGAAATTCCCTAATTTTCTAGCACTATTCTCATATAATTATATTTCACTTAACTGTCATATATTGATAACTAAAACTACTGGTCATATATTGGGAAAACTGTTTTACCGTTTAAATAATGGAATGCTCCGATTCCAAATCCTTTGTATTTTGGAAATCATAGCAACAGACTTTTAATATTCAAAGCGAAGTCTGTTAACTCTAAATTATCATATTAAACATAATGGATAATAAAAATGTAAGATGAATAGACAATCACCCAAACATATCATTTGCAAAGAGTCTGGCATACTTTGTCAAGTTGCAAATCATGAAATCATATGTTAGGTGTTATACTTTACTCCAATGTGACTGATACAAGTCTTGTTTTCAATGCAAAACAAAAAAATAAGAAATGTAAGGAAGCAGAAGAAGATATTCTTAAATTATTGAATAACAGACCTACGTCCTGAAAATTTATTGACTTTATGATGGAATTAGATCTTAAACGAACCCATGCATTACTAAAGGGTTAAGATTGTTTAAACAAATTAAAAGGAACAATTTTGCCTCGTTTAACACCTAATTGTTTGCACTTTACTCAGCTTGGTTGATTTTAAGTTGCTACACAATTATTTTATGGAACTTGAATAACCATAATTATCACATTGATAAGAGAGAGAGAGAGAGAGACAGACAGACAGACAGACAGACAGACATTTTACTGTCAATTGATTTTTCAGTATCAAGGGCCCACAAAACAACTACACATTGTGTAAAAGGAAGTAATTTACTACATATAGCAACAAGATTTATTCACTATTTCATTACCTCCGTCCAAAAATAATAGTTCTTCTGATGAAAAATCACCAATTTTTGGTGCACAATAACAATACACTCTCTTCATATGAAGTATAGCAACAAATAAACGGAGTTGATAAATTAAATGGAAATATCTTTAAATAGTTTAAAACAAAACAATCCAATGGTACAGGAGAAACATCGTGGTCGAAAATATCTAGGAAGACCCTTGCTAAAATTGAAACAGACCTACAATAGTCTCCTTTTATAGAAAATGTAAAGATAGACTATTCGAATTTGATAATTGCAAAAAATACTAAAAGTGTTTACCCTGATTTAAGGGGGCTTTTACACAGAAGGAATTTGGATATACGTCACCTTTACTATTATTGTGATTATTATTGTTATTAAATAACTCTCAAGATTAGTTTACTGTGTATGAAAGTTAATCAATATTGTAGCAATATGTCAAAAGATAATTTTGGGGAAAAATTTTGACTAATATGATGGAAACATTTTGAAAAGATACATAAGAAAATATAATTATGTTGAAGAAGAAGTCTATTGCCCACACTTCTGGAAGAATTTTCCTAAAAAAATAATTATTTTATAACTAGAAAGCATCTCACTGATTAATGAAACATTCCTGTTTGTGAGGTCTATGAATAAATAAATTACCCTTTACTTCTCTTAACTCCCCAATTTGGGACAGATATTGATTCATAAAGGATTCATCTGCTAAATTGCTAATTCAGATAAACTGAGAAAGTATCCCTCTGTATAAAATGTACTGCTCAGCATACTGAACGGCAAACAACTAATTCAGATCGATAAAGCGTACGACTAACTAAAAATGTTGTTCAAAACTATGCCAATCAATTCCTTGAAGATGGAATTTTAGGACGCTCAAAGAAAATATACTTAAGCGAGAGGAAAAACTCTTCAAGAGCATTATTCATTAATCCAACATCTTTAAAATGAAAGCAGGCACAGAGGATTGTAACACAAACACCAGTATGAGACAACTGTGACGAAAGCCAACTGCAGATAAATTCACAATGCTTCAAAAACTAGTCAAATTCCTGTTTTGTATTCAACAACCTATAAAAACAATGGCATTGTAAGCCTACATAAAATCGAGTACCTTTTCTAGAGTTCATTACTCATCTGTTGAAACTACAAATATATTTGCTTTTATGGAGCAGCCTATTCATTCCGAGTCTACTTTACCAAAACAGTTGTGGTTTTGAGTGTTGCTTTCAAAAGACTTTTGCTATTGTGCTGTATCAGATATCACACAATTGTTAATATATGGAAAAAAATGATTTTAGAAGAAATCTATCTATGATCTTTGAAAAGTATTTAACATAAGATTACACAATAAAATTTAAATTAGAAAATCTCAATACACACAATAAAATTTAAATTAGAAAATCTCAATACACTGAAATGATAAAGATAGAAATGGACAAGAATAAAAAATAAATTAAAAATCGGGAGATAATTACTCATACACACAGAATGCAATTTTGAGAGTAAATACTTTTCTTTCAAAGCATTGGATAAAAGAGTAACAAACATATTTCCACATAAGTGTTCATTTCAGAAAGGTTGCTGATAACTTCAATTTTCTGAATACAGAATTCCATTCCAATCAATTCTTAAATAATAAACATTGGGTAAAATAACCAATGCAAATATATCAGCACAGTGTTTTGCTTTATGTAATTACAATATAATTTGTTCTTAATATGAGATTTTACTATAAAAAATATTTTTGTCGCAAATGTTTGTAAAATAATGTAATAAATAGGTATAAAGTATGCAGTGTTCAAAAGTTTCCTCCTACAAAAATGAAAACTTCTAAATAATACAGCACATTACAACAATTCAAAATTAACATTTAAGAAAATCAAAAGGTTAAAATAATAAAATAATAGAATGTTTATATGAATTTGTGGATAAAAGGCAGTATGATAATTTCCATGAATTCAACTTACTGGTTAGGAATTACTGATGTAAGTCAAGATTGTAATGTGCCCAACCACAAGCCATCAAATAAAAAAAAGGGCGAGCAGTAGAAACTTATAAAAAAACTCCTATTTGAAAATAAAACAGAAATTGCGATACACAATAAATGAGAGAGTACAAGGTAAGCATGACTTTCTCTAAGGTAAGATGGCCTGGAAGAATGAAGGGTTCTACACACATGCACAATAGCTCCAACTTCACTATATATTACATTCATAACATTAAAACTAGCCCAAATTTTCTACTTGTGAAATCTGACTGGAAACTGCAAAGTTAGCCATTAATACACAAATTACGCCATTATAACTCCCAAATATAATTCATTTTACAAATTCTATAAAAGACATGAATTCTAAAACATTTGTAAAACACGAGGCAAAGGGAGCCGTTAATAACACATTTTCAATGAAAGTAGTTAGGAACAGTTACAAACGAGTGAAATTAAAATTTGTGAAATACACATAAGTAATTAATAATGTTTAAATTTAACACACAAGTAGTTCTACAATAATGTTCAGCAAATGGGAACAAACTGTTTACATTTTTTCTAAAAAGCCTTAGTACCAAAATATACCAAGTCAAGATTAGAACTACATTACTTGATTCTGGAAAGATATGTTACCAATGAAGTGTTGGCATGTATAAATAAGAAAATACAACATATTGTAGGGGTTATAAATTAACTAATTAAAAAACTGCACATATATCCTGAATAGTTTATAACAAGCAATTTATTTAAGAAATTGAAGCTGTCAATTTTCCAAATGTCAAATCAAAATTGTCTTCATTTAATAAGAAAGGACACTAGGACAGCAATTTTGCACAGCCATTTTAATTGAAACACACTCAAGATGGAATGACAATTGAATTTTGTCAACACCATAGGTGATTGCCCTTTTAAATGCCATTAATGTGATTAAACATCCACACTTCTTTTTGGAATAGTTCCATACTTAGAGATCTTCATAATGACCAATGATGGGTCTATAAAGTTAATATGGACTCTTGATCACTCAAAACCCACCTTGGAATAAATGAAGTTGATTTGTAGAAAATAAAGAATGCTCCATAAAAATCCTAATTATTTTTCAATAATGTCCTCTCCACCTTTGTTCAAATTATCATTGTTATTAACATAAGTAAATGGAACCCAACTTTATTTTAAGGTAATTAAAAAGTACTTGTAATGTAATAGTAAGAACTCTCAATTTCCTTGAAAAAAACCTATGATAAACTGTTTTGCAAAGACCAGTTGCATTATGCGTGTGTCATCTAACAGGAGATAAATTAATTTCTTTTTAATTCCATGTCAAAAGATGAAACATAGGTACATTTAAGGGTCATACAAATAAGTGCTAATAGGAGATAGAATATATGATAAAATATATGGGTAGCTTTAAAACTTCATAATAAATACAAGATAATAACACCTGAAACCACAGGTACAAAATGTTTATGTAAATTTCATTTTGAAGTTGCCCACAATTCACAGGGGAGGCCAATGAAACCTTGAGTATATACATATATACATACACACACTTTACATGTCAATTCACTAATGAGATCAACTACAACATCTCGTGGAAAGATGTCACCTTGAGCAGTTTACATTCCACTATACAGCCAATATAATAACAGATTATGAAAATATTATACACAAATATTTACAAGCATGGCATTGAAAGGTTGCAGCTTTGAAATTCGAATTCCTATCGCACTTCAAAAATATCTGCAAGACTAATATAAACATTAGATAAAACATACCCACTTCACTCATTGCATTCCACAACCAAAGATACTCAGAGGATTAAGTTATACAGATTAAAAACATCACTGTTTACATTTGCAGGTACATATGTACAGAGAGAAATTTGCAGTACATGTTGAAATCTCTTCAGCATGGCAGGAAACACCAAAGAACACCAACTGTTTACAATGTCAGGTAACATGCATACCTTTCACCAACATGTGGGCATTCACCAAGACTGAGAAGGTTTTTAAAAATATTTTGGGGCCTAATAAAATCTAATATAAAGGTAGTACAACTTGCATGGAAGACACACATATCAAAGTTCCTGATTCCAGGACTAAAGCTCAATTCACTCAATATTTAATCTCATTCCACAAATTTAATCACAGGTATCTTCTTTGATACACCAGATTTTGTGGCCAGCAAATCGAACTGCTTTTGCAATCTATCTTGCAAACAAGTGCCTCATTTAAAGAGAATGCAACAAATTCATTCAAGAGTTTTTCAAGTACAATCATTCTTCTCCTTCAGGTATGCATATCTACCACTTTGTGTCAAATAGGAGAATTACACATGCTTTATCCAAATGATATAGTCTATAATAGCACCAACTTGGATCTGCAGACTAGTGTCTGATGCAAAGTCTACACTGACTAGAAATTATTTTTCAACATACATTATGTACATTCATTACACACATTACATACATAGAACAATCACTGTTCAGAAATACATCCCATGGCCAAATGTGTCTGTATTACTCTTATGTTTCATAATGTCCATCTATAAGTAATACAAAGGACACTATAAATTCAATATAATTGACCCTGTTGTGTCTTGAGCATAAAAATTTGTTAATTCATGCAACATTCACCACCTTCTGTCTGACATCCATTGGCTTCTTCAGAAAATGGACCATCTGATATCATATCACAATAAAAAAGGTTATACGGCTTAAGTCGTGGACATGCTTTTGCTAAAAGATTCAGACCTTTGCTGGTTAAACCTGAACATCCACTCACATCAAGAAGCTCTAAACTTGTAACATACTTGCAATTAGCCAAATATTCAAGACCCTTATCAGTGATTTGTGTGCAGCCAGCCAAACTAAGAAATTTTAGACCAGAAGAGAGGGTTTCAGCGTTTGGTGGGCATACAAAGGTCATAATATTTCTTTTATATGGATCTACATCACAAGTTTCAGACACATAATCATCTACAGTAATGAAACCTGAGCAGACATCATGAACATACACTGCACAATATGGCACTTCAATGGACTTTTCAGCAACTTCCTCCTCTGTTGATTTCACAGGCTTTATGGACCAGCATTCAACAAGATTGCACAGTGTTGCATCAGTAACTCGTTTACAGCCCATTAAATTCAATCCTTTAATTTTGCGACATGAACCATAAGCAGCAAGACTGCAATAGAATAAAACTTCAAAATCACAAATAACTTACATTTTGCAAAATTATTGCAAGGTCATGAAGACAAACATAAATTTTTTTTTTTTAAACATTTCAAATAAAACATTCACAAAGTCTTCCGTTTAAAAAGTAACCAACACTACGTAGTTGCATGAACTTTTCCAAAGTTTTGATATTTCTATTGATATGCTTAGTTTACAAGATTCAGATAAGCACACTGTAGCTCATCAGATGAGATGTTAAAAATTTCAGAATTCCAATCTCCAGATGTATTCTACAATGCCAAAGATACATGCTTCAAAGTTGATTTTTTAGTTTACTTAAATTAGTTGTTCTTCAATGAATTTAATGTTAGCATTCAATTCAAATTGATAATGTGGATTTAAAGCACAAACAATGTTTGCAGCATAAAAAGGAGTCCTTATTCCACAGATATAAGAATAAAAAGTTAAGCATAAAAAAACCTGCCATTGCAGCATAGGTAGTTTACCAAAGTAATGTCAAATTAAAAGGTTGCTTTCAACATTCATGAATTGATATGATAGAATTAGAGAAGCATGTTGTAGATCAGTGAATGACATACAATTTTGGGTCCGGCTACTCTTATCACACTATTCAATTAAAGCACAATTCCAATGTTTTCATATTTTTCACTTACCCCTGAAAGGCTTTTCCTGATAAAGCAGTGAATCGAGCATCAAGTCTTTCTATGTTTGGGCACAAAATTAAATACAGATTAAAGATAAAATCAGATACTCCACTATTAGCATTCAGGAAAAGATTTTTCACACTGGGGCCTACTTTTGGAAGAACATTTTCCAAGCACCTATAAAAAAAATAAACACATTAATATCCTGTTGTGATGATGGTGATGAGGATGATAATGATAACAATAAAGATAATGATAACTACAATAATAATAAGTATATTAATTTAAATGTTAAATTGTCCACAACTTTCTTGAATATATTTATTGTGAGCAATTTAGCCAATACGTTGGGTGGACATGGATACAGGATACTTGATACACAGCCTGATTTATTTAAAAACATTTATGTTATAAAATGATGTTCACTATTTAATTGTTACATTAAAAATTCCAATTGTAAGACAATTGTAATAATAATATTGTCACATCCCTTGGAGGATTTCAATTTAGTTTTTTTATTATTTGTTCATTTTAAATGTTGTTGATTGTAGTTCATTTAAAAGGGTCACAAAGCAATTTAAAAAAGTGAATGAGAGAACCTGAAAAAATAAGTCATATTATTGTATTTTTGTGTCCCGAGCAACCAAATGAAATCAATTTAGGAAAGACTATTGGTTTTGCTGTATTTTGCAAATTCAACTTCCAAGGCTATCTACCTCTAAACACACTAAAACTTCACACTTTCATGGCATGAAACCAAACCACTATATTATGCCATCTGATGTCATTCCCCACATTTTATAGAGGCTTGGTTGGTTTTTCATCTTTTATTGCTCATAAAGACATCTTATCCAAAATAGTACATTATGCAACTAGTTTTCAATCTAAAGCTTTATTGCATGATAGTCCAATCAGCAGGTTCTGAAAAAAGGGGTTACCGGGACCATGTCAAAAACGTTTTCTTTGAGTATGTTCAAATCAATTTTAAAGACAATAAAAAGTCCTACACCTTTTGTATAAAACATTTTTTTTGAAACCAATTACAAAGCAACATACATTTTTTTAAAAGCGCTTTGTTTTCATTTCTCCAAATTTCATTATCAAAGAAAAAGTTTTTATGACCTTTTTCCAGGTAAAGTGAACTTTCCGACTGGACTAATGAGTACGTTTTGCAAACGCGCGTCGTAAGGACGAGTTTTCACATTTTTACGAAAGCATTAATACTACATTATAAACGAGTTGAATACTTTTCTTTACAACAGCATTATAAATTAATAATAAATTAAAAGTTAACTTTTAGAAACAACTTGTTAAGTCACGGGTATTCGACATTGTGCGAAAAACTTGTCGGCTGTTCGATTTACCGCTACCACCCCACGATTCTCTCGCTGCGATTGGTTGAATGTGATTTCGCAATTATACGTGCCAAAAACGGCAAATACATCATATTCTGTGTCATAAGGTGTCATTTTATGAACGATTTCTTGTAATGGAAAAGTCGTTGATAATGCTGGAATACAACAAAATTATGTTTATATATGATGCCAGCAACTATTACTGCAAATTAATGCAGACTAATAATGCACAGCTAAAACATTGAAATTATAAGCACTACCACATAGAATAAATTGAACTCACCCAATGAGCAACCGATATTCACTAATTACTCTCTTGTATAAAGGCATTTCCTGCTTTATGTCCAAGACAACATCAAGCAGAGCAAGAGTACTATCAACAATTCTCAAATAGCCTCCATCCAGAAGAAGCCATCTTCTTCCCGTATATAGTTCGCAACAATTTTGTGAATCATAATAGTTCATTTCACTTCTGTCCCATTTTCCTAAAACAGAATAAGAATCCAAGTTTTGTTCATTCATTGAATGTCTAAACAACATCTGGTGTGCTTTTTCTGAAACGAATAAAATTAAATGTCGATGTCTTGTTATGAACGAAACTATGTGGCGATGTGTCATTACTGGAGCCCAGAATTTTTACAAAATGCCTACCTGCGAAATATTTCATGACTTTTGATACTAGTTACTCGATTGGACTTCTGGATCTGTTTTAGTAGATTTCCATTTTGCCTTTTTTTCTTATGCATATTTTTGCCATTTTGTTTTATTTGTGCCTTTTTCTGCCTTTTAAAACTTGTACGTCAGTATTTTGCTTTTCCGCTCCTCTCACCAATCTCAATTAAACTGGATTTATACCCACAAGCCTGGACAACACGAAGGCATGGTCGTATATTGTTTTTCTGTGTAAGTAGAGGCATTGTTAAAAATGTATATGAAAAGGGAAGTGGATACCAGTCAAGATTTTATTTTTTTCATTGATCGGTTCGCTCATGAATCCCGTCCTACTTCGAGTATGGCCTCTGATTCCTTATGAGGATAGCTCTCTGTGTATACCGTTCTCAGTGCTGGCGATACGCAAGCGCGAAGAACGAAACATAATTCCGTTTTCAGTATTGCCATTTCAAGATTCAACTTACCGTATATGGTTATATGCAATCGAGAGTACCAAGAAAAGGTCGTTTCTTTACATGTTAAGTGGTAATGTAAATTTAAAGTTGGAATAAAAATGTGAATAATCATAATTATTAATTTTTTTACAATAATTCCCTTTAAATGCTATTTTTCATTGTTTACATGTTTTTGCACCCCTACTTTAGCTAGAATAAATTACTTTTATCACGCCTGCTCCATACTCACAGTACAAACTTCACAACTTTTGGTGCCGAAAGTTGTTCGTAACAAGTGACTCAACTATGGGGAAACAACGACGTGTCGACCATGGTCCATTGATGTCTCAGAGCAAAGAAGGCTGACGTTCATATTTTAAGCGACAGTAGGGCCACAATTCGACAAATTCCACAGAGGTACAACAGCAGTTACCAGGATGTTACCGGGATGTAAAATCTACTTGAACCCGGACGTCTACTCCGGGTTGCAACCAGCTTCCTAAGGAGCAGACCTAGGGACTGTCGGAGCATCTGCAATACTTGGCACAAAATGTGGGCTCTTCTCAATAAAGCAATTTTGCACTTCCCAGTCTTTGAATGACCCAGGAGTTTCTCGGATATAGTGCTTACGGATGTTACGAAGCTGTTTATCAAGCGTTTAATTCTAAGTGCTTGGCAAACAGAGTGGCAGAACACGGATTTTAAGATCGCGAGAATAAAGAATCCTATAAGACCTTGGTCTTCAACTCGTGGTGTTAAGCACATGATCGTTCTTAAGCCCCTTCGGATCGGCCTCTGCTACTTCTACAGATATTTTCTCCGCAATGACCGACACGTTACCTGTGAAAAATACAGTACAAATCTCATCGTGGAGCTTGCTCTCTTACATTGTAGTAAGGTAGCAGGCAGCCGCAGAAGGCATCGCCTTGTCACCACTCTTGGAGAGCTGTGTGGTAAATTTGAACTCTGCAAACTCTTTATCTTCGTATGGGGAAAATAATATGCGTAGTCTAATCTAAGTGACGAGGACTAGGCCAATTAATCTTTGCTCTAAATTATAGAGTTTCACTTGGCTCATTTTCTGCCGGTTATTTTTACCAGGGCCGGCGACAATAACGGAAACTTTGGTAGGCCCACATAAATAATAAATAATGTTCTGACTGAAATTGCATCAGCTCACATCCAAATATGGTGGACCAAGATAAACATCACACCAACAGCAATATGTGAGCACTTGCTTAATGTGAAGATACATTATTTTCAACAGGAGCACAATTCACCGCCAGTAGATGGTTAAATGAGCCAATATAGAATATGATAAATATAATTTTGAAGAACAAAAGCATTAATTACAGTATAAATTAATCTCAAGAATACAGGATCCTGACTACTGGAACAACTCATTTCCTCCAGTAAGTAAATATAGGCATTTCACTACAAATATAAACAATTGGTGCTAAAACAGCACATACTTTCTATCCCTAAGTAACGGTTAGGTAATATTATTTTAACCGTAATTTCTGTCTAAACTAACATATCCGTCATCATTGTCGTTATGTTAAAAAATTAAAGTTAAATAAAAGTTCGTAAAAATGTATGGTACTCAATTGGTTTTCAATTTTTCCTTGACGTTACGTTTAAATTGTATTTTTAAGAGAGAAAAACTAATTGGGCTAACTTCAATTAAGGTTTGGGGATAGCTTGAAAGAAAATCAATAAATTGAGAATACAAATACATTCCTCACAACACGGACAAAAAATATGGATTATCAAATAGGTTTTAAATCATTTCTAAAAGGTTAATTTGTAAACCTAAATAGGCTCAAAAGTAAGAAACGAAAAAAGATATATGAAATAATATACAAATTCTAACTTGCGTAGCATCCAACTGTATGGAATTACATCTTATATTACGTTCACAAAGTGCAGGAAATTCGAAGCGGGCGAATATGTTTGACCTCAAATTACACAAAAAAATACTCATTTTCGAAAACATTTACATGACCTTATTTTAAGATCTCTTTTGATGAATACATTTCATAAGAAAAAAATGTATCTTCACTATTTTAGTTGGAGTAGGATACTGAATTTTTTTTTTAATTGTTCGAAAAATTAGCCATTTTAACGAACACGAGACCGGCGCCGTTCTTTTAAGCGGCCTATACGCTATCTAAGCTCAAAATTTAATAAAAAAAATGGTGTGCCTTTTTAAGAAAAAATTGTTTAGAGACATTAAATGGCCTATTTTGATTCAAAATCTCGCAAAAAAATACTTTTCGAAAACTTGAGCATGACTATTTTAAAATGTATTTTTGTTGGACACATTACATGAAGAAAGATGTTTGTCGTCATAATTGTAGTTGAAGAAAACATCGAAAAAAATGTCTACGAACATGAGACCAGCACCATTCTCTGATGTGTCCTACACGCTTTCCGAGGCCAAAATTTAATTTTAAAAAATTGGTGCCGTTTATGAGAAAAAAATGTTGGAACAAAATTAAAATTGCCCCTATTTCACACAAAATCACGCAAAAATGCTACAATTTTCGAAACGTTGTACATGATCTTATTTAAAAACCTAAAAGCCCTTTCCAACCCCCGCTCTGGGACTACCGCTCCGAAAAGCAAAGAACCTATTTGACCTTCGCCAAACCGTGCTCCGCGCACTTAACACCCGCGATGCCGTGAAAACTCGGATTATCGATGCCCGCAAATGCCCCCTCGCTAGTAATTCTCCACCCATAGCGTCGGCCCCCAGCACATGTCCCACGCACGCAACCACTCATCGTTAACAGTAGCTAAACAATGACAACCTATTGGAACGATAAGATATGTAGGCCATCAAAGAGGGAACTGGGCCGACCAATAGGCATCCACAACCCTACAGAATATTCTAGAAGTGGCTAAGGAACCAACAGTGGCACTGGACGACACAGGTGACCAAAGGACACTCACACGCAAGGGAAGGTAACACAGGGCAGAGATGAATGGGCAGCTGCTGTCTGAAATCCATAGATAGAGGCTGTTTTTATTTTCATAGAGCAAAGACGCTTTTCTTTGAAAAACTTCCGAGATCAGTGACTATTTGAAACCGCAACAAGAAGGCTACAAAGTTTTGCTCCACCGGATGCCATTCTCTCTGGAACCGGTGCATTATTTAGAACTATTATCAAGCAAAATAACCACGTCAGCGGAATTTATTTCGTTCTGTGGACGAAAGCCAGAACGTCCGAAAGGCACTTGTTACGAAGAGCAACCTTCCGCAACCAACGCGAGTAGTGACGTATGACGGCTCCACGACAATGGAAGACATACGCCCAACACAAATTACGTAAATAATTGACGTATAGAAAATATAGATAAAAACACACCATCATCGGTACGAGAGCGAGGGCCTTCAATCCCATCACCGGCGCGTGTAGCGCACCCCGAACTGTCCCAGATGCGAGCCCGCACCAGCCCTTTGACTTGCGACTTGACTTCGACACTACTGCCTTAACGATCTCGGCCATCCGGACGACAATGAATTGAATATAATACCATAAGTTTTTACTAATGATATTATATATACCATTATATATATGGTGTTATATAATACCATAAGTTTTTTCTAAGGTAAAAAACCCATTGTTTCCATTTTTATCCCTGAATAATAAGGTATTGATACTTAGACCCCACACAAGATGGAAAGAGACTCTTGAGAGCGGAACGGGCCACTAGGCCCAAACCTTGTTGCTGATGATGATGATACTTAGAACTATAGTTACTGTAACAATGTACAGAGAGATTAATGTCTCCATTATTTTGTCATAACTAAATTTTAAAATGTATTTATATTTACTATACGTCATTTATTTACGTAATTTGTGTTGGGCATACGAGGTCTTGCATTGTCGTGGAGCGGAATGATCCCACGGGCCTCATACGGCCAAGACAATCACGGCACTCTTGCAGAAATTCAAGTAAGAGATTCTCGGCCACCCTCCCTACAGACCAGACCTCGGTCCCTGTAATGTCATTTTTAGTCCCCTGAAATTGGGAGCGATTTACCACGGTCGAGGACGACAAGCAGTACGACATACGTAACTGGTTCACAACAGCCTCCAGAATTTCACGAGACAAGCCATTCGCCGCCTTCTGTCGCAGTGGAACGAGTGCAACAACCAGGGCCACTATTTCTGACATGTAGATACTGGATCTTGAACATATACTTGGAAATTTTTTAACGTGGCAAGGTCACGCACGAAAAAGGTATAGGGAAAGGCATACTCCAATAGGGAGCTGAAACGTCACTACAGCTCCCACTTTTACGGCTCCCTATTGAAAAAGACCTTCCCTCTCCAGATTTCGTGCGTGACCTTGAGACGCCACGATAAAAAAATTGAAGTACAGTCCTCCGGCTCGCTTCTGTTAGAA